AAAATACCCCGGAATAATTCTAAAGTCTGGATTTATTGCTGCAAGTTGCTCAAAAGAGGTATTTAAAACATGGACGCAGAAAATGGGTACACCAATTTTTGTGGGAAAACTCTTTATTCGACAACAAAGAATGAGAAAACGTGTTTTTTGGGATTCAACCGAAATAATTGGCAGGGACGAAAAGACTCTACTTATAAGATTTTTAAGTATTTGTGAGGCCTACAAAATGAGACCACACGTAAAAAGACTAATAGCAAAAAAGTTATGGCCGAAAACCGAGGCAAACTGCAGGTTTTGTCACGTGTTGGTAATGCGACGACGCTTTCTCGCAGATATTTGAAATTCTTCAAATTCGTAGGATTCGTACTTTAAATATCCACAACAAAATTGGAGTAGATTGGTCGAGCAGTTTTTGAGAATGTCTAATTGTTTATCCCAAAACATCTGTTTTCCGGCCATCACTACTAGTTTATTGAGCAATATATACAGGGTTAGTTCAAAGGGCATTTTATAGCAAAATACACTAGTTTACCTTGTCGATATGAATCCCAAACTGTTCCGGAAGTTACGTTTTTTCTTCTAAACAAATTCAAACATTTCGTATTTGTGAGTAACTCGCAACAAAAGATGATAGACACATCCGCTTTGTTTTAAAATGTGTATAGTAGCGTATTTATTTCGAATGGCCGGAAAACAGGTGTTTTAGAATAAACAATTTGAAATTCTCAAAAAACTATTTGACCAATATACTACAATTTTGGTGTTGTTATTGAGAAGTATGAATCCTGCGGATTTGAAGAATTTCAAGTAGTTGCGTAAAATTATCGTCGCGCATCACCAACAAGTGCCAAAACTTGCATTTTGCCTGGTTTTTCTTTCATAACATTTTTGCTATTAGTCGGATGTTTTCACGTGTGGTCTCATTCTGTAGGTCTCATAAATACCTAAAAAATTTATATAAAAAGTTGCTTCGTTCCTGTCAACACTTTCAATTTAATCCCAAAAAATCACGTTTTCTCGTTCTTTGTTTTCAAATAAAAAGTTTTCCCACAAAAATTAGTGTAACCATTTTATGCGTCCATGTTTAAAATACCCCCTTGAACAACTTGCACCAATAAAACCGGACTTTGAAATTATTTCGGGAAAATTTGCTAATATGATTAGACTATATGTTAGATGAACGCCCACATTGAAAATATACATTTATGAGACATGCTTAGCGGTGCGCCTGTGGCCTGTCCAGAAAATGCGTCGATCGATGCTCAAAGTCAATAAATACCACACGTCCCGCATTTCTTCCCGCGTATGTTTCTATGTATGTTGCTATTTACTTGGAATTCGTTTAAGTCACAGAGCTTCTGCACTACACGTGAATATGTACAGCCCTGTATCAATGTTCTTGTTTCGGACAAACAAACATTATCAAAATAATTACGATCTAACATGTATAGTTTTTTTAAAAGATTTCCATCATGTTTACATGCGATCAACACCGATTCGAAAACTGAGAAAACAACAACTATACCGCAAATCCAAGTTCGACAACAAAAGTCTGAGGAACAACTGTAAAATCTACAATATGTATAGAATTTCAAAAAATAATTGACTATACCTATTGATATTTTTATCACCTGCTGATATAATAGAAATGCTTGATTGTGTCAGTATTTACACAAATTGTTTGATTTGTTTAACGGGTTGTTCAGAGTATTAATCCTTAAGCTTATTACACACTAGTAGACTTCGTTGAACAATTTGTCTATAGGCAGTCTGGAGACGGTCTCAAGACACGATCTATAGATGGTCTAAAGTCATCCTTCTTTGTGAATTTTTCGGACTCATGTTCGTTTTCGCCATCAAAGTCATTGTTTTGTGTGGAACGGCTGGGATATCTCGGGGTCAATTAAGGTATCGCGTCGCGAGTTCGCGTTTTTTAAAAAACGTTTTACAGGCGATTCGATACACTTTAGTTACTTAAAGTACAAGTATCGTTTCAGGCAACAATGGTTTTGTTACCAAACCTAAGACTACGTGAGCTTACAAGCGATTGACTAATAGATGTAACCTAAATTAATAGCTGATGTAAACTGATGCCTAAAGGGCACAAACAAGAATTTATAATATGGGGTTGTTTATAAAGATAAGATATAAGTACACCAATTAGGGTGATATACGAGGGGCTCTTGCTATATAGCTGGTCCCTCAAAATATTTTTTTTGGTTAACAGAGCAATTAAGTTTTTTATATTTTAATCTTTAATATTATTACACTAGTTAATTATAAATGCCACCTACTTCTTTTGTTCTCATATAATAAAATATTGCCTTTCTGAGGATTTCTGAGCACTTTCCATATTTTTTTTCAAGCTGTCATTGAACAAATAGAACACAATGCATTTAAGGAGCAATAATAGAATAAATTCTAGAAGTTCCACTGAGGTAGAAAAATTACCAGAACCAAATATCGTCCCCTAGACGAAATCCTGAATCCGCCCTTGTCGCCTACCAATCGCCAGACCTTATAAGTACTTTCTGCAAAGCCCCTATGATACTCCGAATACATTATTTATGCATACACCAATCGTCGCCGTCGTCCTAACATTTCCTTGTCACGAGCTTTTGAAAGCTACAGTAATCTGATCCTCTCCTACACATATGCCCAATGTCTATCAATATACTTTTCAGACGAACATTTCCATAATTATCTGCGCTTTTAAAAAAGAGTTTCCACGATTATCAATAAACCACTTCCTTAGTCCACAAAAAGCAGCTAAATATCGCAACATAATTATTGGTGGGCCTTTGAGCTATCCTTCCCATACACGGCATTTATTCATACAGTGAAATCCATGTAATTCTACTGACGTCGTGATGTGTACGAGAGATAAAGCGTGCAATACGTGAGTTAGAAAGAGATAGAAGCACCTCGTTGCATAGCTACCCGAGACACAAGGCCACGGACGCAGCTGCGGCTGCATATACAGAGAAATCCATATACCACTGATGTCCCAATGGGTATGAAAGAGAAGCGCCAGAAGAGCGTGCAATACATATGTTAGAAAGAGATAGAAGCATCACGTCTAACAGCCCGAGTGACGGGGCCAGACGCGGCTACGGCTTGCCGCGTTGCCATCGGCGCACTCTTTCTTACATACATATTGCACACTACTCGCGCTTTTGTCTCGTACCCATTACGTCAGCCAAATTTAAACCTCATCGTATAGATTCTCCAGGCTTCTGGGCTGATATTATTATTTATATTAGGTATATGATTTAGACTTATTGGGTAGGGCTTTCGTTTCGTAGCTTATGCTCGAGTGCCTAAAAAAATCTACCGATCTGAAATGACTTGATGCCGTCTCTATTATGGCAATTATATTTAGAATATCTCATAATCCAACAATCAACAACTATAGCTAGAATCCACGAATTAGGAATGAGAAACAATCGATCAGGTGCTGTCTTTCAATACTCCCGTATTGTATATTTTAAACTTCGGCCAACTACTAGCGCCGCCTAATAACGCAGGGCTCTATTTCCTGTTGTGTCCTTCATATTTGCCTGATGAAAGTGGACGGAACTTGTAGCGTCGCTTCTGTCGCATGCACGCATGCCCTTCAAATTCAAATCTTTCCAACGTGCGCTGTGAAACCACAATAATTTGAAATTTTTATTAAACCATACAATATGTGGGTTTATTCACAAAGAGACAGTAATGATAATATCACTACATTAAGCCTAATATTCCGTTTGTTTTATAAAACGGAATGGTTTCAACAAGATATTTTAAATTCAAGTGGCCTCCCCTCGACTACCCGCGTTTGGACCATTCCATTCTCACTCCCTCTTGCCTCTCCCATACACATGACAGGCCATAGTTAGAGCATTACTAACAACACTGTTGCCATACTGCCAAGAAAAATCTGCGGATCTGTCGAATTTTTCAAAGAACTAGGCTTTATTTTAACAGAACCGTTGACGTATATTTTTTTGCTTGACTTGACACGAAGCAAAAGATCAAATGGACAGCGTCCTATTTTTGGTTCATTGGTAGCTCGTCAAGAAAAATAATTAGTATTTATGAAATTCAAATTGTAATGTACACATATGCATTTCAATCTTACTGCTGTGGCTACAGAGATTACATCAATTACATTGAAAACCTAGAATACCTTCCAATATTAACTAAATTAGTAGAGAGTCTTAGCAAACACAAATAGCGAAATACCGCATACGTACGTAAACGTCTGCCAATTTTGACGTTTGTCACACGTGAATTGTTGACTTAAATATCAACATAACCTTTACGTGTGCTGTATTTGTGACTACAAAACTCTCTATTATATATCTTTTTTGCAATGGGTATGGTACAATAAACTTTTACCACCAAAACCTGACAAATGACTGATATCATTGATTTTACCATTCCACCAGAAACGTTAACCATCTTCCTTGTTTTCCTCATTTCTTAACGAGGATGAGTAGCAAATCACTTTCTTAGTGAATATAGTAACGAGATAATTAGGTAGATAAATAATAACGAAAGGCAGTTGAAATTATATTTCACTAAACTGATGTTGTCATGTTGACAAATAAACGTTTTGTTTCTATGTCCTTAAGTGGGAAATCACTAAATAAACCCGAAGCTCTAGATAATACCGGAAAACGGATTTTAATGGAGAAAACAATTCTAACCAACGTTCTCACATTACTGTCAGCTGAAATGAATTCAAATTGGTCGCTACTTTTAGTTTGCTGTTCTGACAAGTTACAACTGGATGCTTCAAAATATTTGTAAGAAGAACGGATAAGATCAGAGTACAGTACGTTATATGATTATTAATGATAACATCTGCATTGAATCAAATTGAAGGTTACATTTTATCAGTAACCGTTTATACAAGAAATTTCGGGGAGATCTGACAACATGACAACTACGCTGACGCGCTGTATCGTGGATTGTAGTGTTCAAGCCAGGTTGACTTTGCGCAAGTTTATTTATAGTCGCGTTGCCGCCACCGAGTAGTGTGTGTGTATATTGTTTTTAGGACATTTTGACTTCTTGTTAGAAAAACTGGTGTTTGTTTTGGTGAAGTACATTTTTTCGTTGGCCCGCTGTTGCGTGACTTGTTGACATAGTGGCTTTCCCGCGTACACACGAAAAACGTTTTGCGAAAAATACCGCGTGGCTGATTTTGGCGGCGTAACTGTGGTTGCATAACCTCAAAAGTAAACAATCAGAGAAGATGACCACCAGTATTTACAAACCCCTGGGAGTATCCCTGCTCTCCCATTCCCCGGATAGAATGATCTTCTGCAGATCTGACGTGAGGAAAGTGAAAAGAGTCCTTTTTGAACCCGTGGATCATGTTAGCACTCAGAAATTCTTGGAGGAAGAGTTGAAGAAGGTTACTGTCACAGAGTCTGAGAAGTGGAATTTTGACTTCAAAAAGCAGAAACCATTAAGCGGTGCGTACAAATGGAGAACTGCAACTCCTCAGATGAGCAACCGACCGATCAAAAGACGCTCTAGCGAGGATCTGGAAGTGGAAGACTTGTACCCACCTCAGATCATCAGACCAACTCCTACAAGGGCTGTGCCCACAGAAGAATCACCCATGACAATATCCCCAAGTATTGAAGTCAAAACATTTGAGAAGCCCCATAAAGCCAAGCCACAGCTCCTCATAACTGGTAAGTCACTTCATTTAGTTTTATAATGTATACTTGCATAATACAGTAGTGTGATGATTCACGCTTATTTTAAGTCTTGTTAAACCTTTTTCTGAGTTCCTTATGTATACAATCACCAATTTGTGATGGAACAGCTGTTGGTTAAATCTACAACTTCTCACTCCCTACTAAGGGGCTATAAACTATGTTTGTTCCCTTTAGCATTTCATCACTAATGAATGACACCATTAAGTATTAATTAAGTACAATATAGCCACAAGTTTCCCTTGATATTTCTAAATAGTTGCCAATTCTGATAAAAAAGAGTTATGGTTATGGCCACTGTTTTTTTTGAGACTTGTCAGTGTGATGCATTATATGATCCATGTATCTGATGAATAAATTAACTCAAATTTAACTTAAGTATTACTTGGGCTTGTCTAAGCTTTTGTACTACTTTTTATTTCATAAATTCTTACAGATTCAATATCAGATTATTAAAATGATCGAAAGAAAACATAATATGATTATTGATTATTTAATATATATGTATGTTTCACCATGTTTTCAAGTACAGAAAAATTTTAAGGTTCTGCAGAAGATTGATTACTGTTACTAGTTTTGAGGCTCTTTTAGAAAAGATGCTATCTATGCTCTTTTTAGTTAGTGGTTTATCCTGATAACTGATGCACCATAATCCATCTTCTGTGGCTCTTCCAATTAAATGTCTTTACTAACCACCAAGTTTCCTGTCACTCTGGGAAAGTAGGAAATGAAAATGATCAGAAATACAATAGGATAGGCTTTGTGCATCAGTATGTTCTTTCTCAAAATGGAATTAGAAGTTTCTTTCCATTATATTGTTTATTTTTCGACAACTTTGTCCATCTCAGGATATACAAGTTAGTGAGCTTGGAAAAAAATAGTATAAATGAAATTCTGTATATACAGGGTGTTTCAGAACTATGGGATCAAACTTCTAGGGGTGATTCAGTGTAACAGTAGAAAACATTTGAGTACAGGAGGACCCATATCCGGAAAAGTGTCACTACGGCCCTGAGACGCGTTAAAATTTAGAAAGACGATGAATTGCCTAAATAGGATTTAATGCATTCAATTTTTGCCTTTTGTACGTGATATCAGCACAACAATTGTTCAAAATATCTTCCTCCAACCTGAATACACCGATTTGAATGTCGCACGTGATTTCGGCGGACTTGACTAAATATTTGATCCTCGTTTTGAATTATTTCAAATGCTGCTGTAATTCGTCCAATTACTTAAGTCTTGCTCTGTTTCTACTGGAGTTTCGTAAACCAAAGACTTTGTCCCCAGAGGAATGGTTGTATTCGGGTTGGAAGAAGACATTTTGAACAATAATTGTTGTAATGATATCATGTACAAAATTAAATGCATTAAATCTTATTTAGGCAATTCATCGTCTTTCTAAATTTTAACGCGTGTCATGGTCATAGTGACAGTTTTCTGGATATGGGTCTCTATACTCAAATATTATCTACTGTTACACTGAGTAACCCATAGTTCTGAAACATCCTGTATAAAAACACAACTTTGAGGACAATCACTTTTATTAAATTATTTTGACTGACATAATTTGGAACTTTTAATTGAGAAATCCTTATACCCAGCTGAAGGTCATTTTCAGCTTTTCACAAATTCACTCTTTCTACTAAGCACTTTCCTCTCATTCCCTAATCATTGAAAATTTATTAAGGTATTTTTTCCAAAACTGTGCTCCCAGGATACCTATTTCAATCATGGAGTCCTATGATTTTTCAGGTCTCCCAAAAGCACTTTTTATTGAACCCTTTCCAAAAATATTTTTTTACAGAATCAGAATCATTCCAGTCATCTCAACAATGCCTAGACATTTCGTCTACTAATAGTCGCATTTCTTAAAAATTTCAACACCCTGTAGCTTTAAATTTAATCTAATGTGGACACATGTTTTTAATATAAACTTCACTTCATAGAATTATTCCAGGACACATATTCCTAGCACATCAATAAGGAACACCCTGTATTCTGTCAACTGGGGCCACACGTTCACAGCTGTTCTTTAGGCACAGACTGCTAAACATCAACGATCCCAGAGCAGACAGATGCACAAGGGGGGTGGGTATGGTATACTAGGGATGACCTGGTCCCCTTGATATAACGCGATATCAACGCTTATCGTACGGGGGTGCAGGGAACACATTGAAAAGGGGGTGTACGTATAACGTATTTCTCTACCCTAAAATCTATACGGGGTGCATGCATTTGCTTGTTTATACAGGGTGTTACAGCAAGGGTTACAGGCACGTAGTAACGATGGAACTCGATAAGAGAGGGAACGTAGTTTTAGGTATAAAAGGACCTATAGATATATATCAGTTCTAGTATCTCAAATTCATCTTTCTGTATTTTCTGGTCTAAGGAAAAGCACATAACAGCAAATTTTGTTGATCTTTTTCATATTGGTTTTTGATGGTTTGCCGCCCACTTGATTTTCATTATCTATTTATAATAATTTTTGTTTCTGTCACTAGATCACAAAACTAAAAATCCTTATGTATCCTGGATAAAGAAATTGATTATATATTTTCTTTGAAAATAATGCATGGCATGTTGGCTGAACGGAAATAAGCAGTTGTGGTCAGTGAAGCTTTGTGAATACATCAATGAGAAGTCCTCCACCCTTTCTTCATCACAAATTTAACGTTAAAAAATGCTTCAGTCCATATTAAACTATGTGAAAAGTTCTACAGCACAGAAGAACGCCGCAATTGGAAATGAGTTTAATCATAATATGCGCCTTGCCAGAAATTTTTCTGTTATATCCATACTGTCCTGAATACTTTTTAAGCTTTGAAGGATTTCTATAGTTCTCACAGAGTTCCTAACCCGCCATCTACTTTGGTTCTGGGCACTTAAATCTTGAGCACTACTTAATGCAACAGAAAAACCAATAAAATTCCACTAAAGGTCTAGCTAAAAGTCAATAATCATAGTTACTTTTCTAACCACTTGAAATATCTCCCACGGAATAAAAGTACCAATTATCTCACTAGTGCTTTGACCGTCGTAGTAGGGTGTTGTAAAAGTATCGAAAAAAGGCAGCTATAAAAAACACATAAAAACTCGTTTCTTCCCGGTTTAGGTCATCCCACACCAGCTATGAATAGTGATGGGAGATACCAAATACTGCTGGAAGTAAAAGAGCGAATACAGTCGGAAGATGTATTGTATTGTACAAGTGCTTGGAATTCCGTTTTTTCTCACCGATGCCGCCGCGCAGGTAGAAGCCTAAATGCCAGGGCGCCGCGGCTGCTATGAGGAGCTAAAAGATAGTTTTTAATCCGATTTTTTGACATCCTATGGTTAGTAAAACTGGGAAAACCCTCGTCTTGTAGATTGTTCCACAATTGCGACCTCCTATGGACAAAAGAGCTGTCCTATCGTTCTTTATGTACACAGTTAGGATGGGAGGCCGACGTCAAGCGGATCTATATGACAGGCTCGCGTTCGGCGGCATCATGGAGGAGAGCTCTCAAGAGCAAAGCCCATTGGGGAGGCGGTAGGTGAGAGCGGCCCACCGGTGCGAAAGGGTTCCAAGACTGTCTGTTAGAGAAGAGTCATCGATTAGCAGCATTCAGCATGATTAATGTAGTCTGGGCGGCAGCACCCCAAACATGTGAGCAATACTTGACGCTAGGTCTTATTTGGGCCTTGTAGAGAGTGAATAAGTCACGTGGAGAAAAGTACTTATTGACCCTAAAGACATAGCCTAGCTTTTTCCCAGCAACTGCCGTTATTGATCAGATTTGTTCGTGACAGATCAAATCCTCGATGATTTGGACTCCGACCAGCCGAAATTAACGGCTCTTTGCTAGAACTCGGCCATCTATCGAAACCAGATGAGCACTAGGACGTTCCTTGTTCGATAAAGTACAGTAGTGTTTTTTGGAAGCATTAAACTCTACAAGATTGTTGTTCCTCAAGCGGTGATAACCTTCCGGTCGTGATATTTTTCTGGTAATTTCACTGGTACTTCCAGATGTAAATGTTATAACTTATTCTACGCAATATGCTATGTTTGTCAATCGATATAACGGGTGATTTTTTAAGAGGTATAGGATTTGATTTAAAAAAAAAAACACAAAAAATTTGAAAAAAACGATTAAATCTTTATTTGAGTCGATAGAACGGTCGATATAATTTAATGTTTAAAGATTATTTCATGTAAATGTTGGCCGCGGCTCCGCTTTAGATGGCCCATGCGCAAGGTCCAATTTTGGCACACTCTCTCCAACATATCGGCCGGTATCTCACGAATAAATGCTTCAATATTGGCTTCCAGTACGTCAATCGTTGCTGGTTTATCTCTGTAGACATTAGCCTTAACTCTTGCAATGCTTCTGGCTGGTCTTCATTCCAGATGCTGCAAGTTTGCTTGTTAACGTACCCATTCAACCAGAAATGAGCTTCGTCGCTGAACACAATTTTTCGATAAAAATGTGGATCTTCCTCCAACTTTGCCAGCGCCCATTCACCAAATTGGAAACGTTGTGGGAGGTCGTGTGGCTTCAATTCTTGCACCAGCTGTATCTTATAAGGTTTTACACCCAAATCCTGTCGCAAAATTTTCCACGTAGTGGAGTAACAGAGGCCCAATTGCTGCGAACGGCGGCGAATCGACATTTCACGGTCATCACTAACACTGGCGGATACAGCCGCAATATTTTCTTCAGTCCTTACTCTACGTGTGCGTGTTGGTGGTTTAATGTCCAATAATGTAAACTGGGTTCGAAATTTAGTCACACGCTTCCGAATAGCTCCCTCAGTAGGCCGATCAAATTGCCCATAAATTGGAAGCAGTGCTCGATGCACTCTCTTAACCGAGCATGAATTTTGATAGCAAAATTTAATAATTTGCAAGCGTTGTTCGTTCGTAAGTCGATTCATGGTTAAATTATAGACCAAACTGAACAAGTTTGACAATGACACAAGACACGATTCACGCGTCATCTGTCAAAAACAGTGTTGCCAAAAAAATACTAGCAAAAAAATCACCTATTATCTTTGATCAAAATGGGTAAAGTTTCTGAATAAGTTTAAAATTGAAGTGGATATTACATTACATTACATCATAACGGAAAATGATGACACTCATGGCCGCCAGTCTCCCTATTTGGTAATCCTTGACTCCTCTATATCTCTGGCTTGGCTTTGTTGAAATTTGACGTTAGTACTATGCTAAGGGTGAAAAGGCTTTGTAAGCTCTGAAACTGTGCAATGGCGGTAGAGTTATGAACGAATAACTTATCATTTCAGATCGACCTAAAACTTACTCGCCGCTTAAAGAGGTAGTCAAAAAATTTATGTTAGTCAAGTTTCATTTGTCAATGCGCTCAGAAAATTTCCAGCATTCCTTGAGTCCACCACTAATTTCAACAACGCTGATTGATCAAATAAGCAATTTGAGATCAGGAATTTCAAGCATATCTTTACCCTTTGTTACTAACTAATTGTGCTACGGCGGAGAGCAAATACACTGATGATTGGTCAAATAACCGATTTCAAGTTAGAAAAATTTGAAGTTCAAGCAGATAGATATTTCTTGTTACTAAACTGAATTGTATAATATTCCGCGTAGGGCTTTACAAGTTGGAGCTCTACGTGATAATTTTGAAGTTTTGAGAATAACTTCTATTTTATAAAGTTATATATAATAAAGTGCTACTGCGGAGAGTACCCGTCTCTGAAAACTCTGAAAACAGAAGTTATTATCTAAACCTGTATGTCATCCCATATTTATTTAACTTCCAGAACCCAACGGGGAATATTATAGTTTAGTAACAAAGGTATGCATGGAATTAAAATTTTCCTAACCTCAAATTGCTTTTCTGCCTCATCATCGTCGTCAGTCTTATTTATACTGTAGCCCTCCATAAGAGCTTCAGAGTGCGCGTGGGCCCAATTTGAAAATAGGTTCTACTTTTAACCGATCCGATAGTGACGCGGATATTCGAACTCTTTGAGAGACTCGTATTAATGACCACCCATCACTAGTAATCTAAAATCACGGAAGGCGCATCTTTGTCACTGCGTATTACCATCATCGACGGGGCGGTACCATCCATAGTACGTCTACGCACCATGGCGTCGCGGCAGAGGATCACCTTGAAAAGTGCGTCGACCCCTAAAAAACCCAAAATTGATGGGCCTTATTTTCTAAGATATTTCTACACGTGTGTGGATGTTGGACGCTCATTTGTTCTGGGCATATAGGTATATATACCTACGAAGGGCTTCGGCTACCTGCAGCTAGATTCCAGTTTCAGTTAGATGAGATAAGGATACATTTTTTACAGACGATTATTATAACATGTTATGAGAACAACCCTTTTTTTGACCCTAAGAAAGTAGGAAAGAATAATAAGTGAAATAGTGCTGTTATTGTTTTTTATATGCTGCATACTACATTTTCATGATTATTATGGAGACCTCCATTAGGCCATATTAACTTCAGTAGGGGACAACATAAATATTTCAAATTTGGTTGTTATATACCAAGTTGTAACATACATCTATAATTACTCTAATCATATTAGACGAAAATACCTCTTGTTTGCGAAATAATTGTGAAGTCTGGTTTTATTGCTGCAAGTTCAAGGGGGTATTCAAAACATGGACGCATGAAATGGGTACACCAATTTTTGTGGGAAAACTTTTTATTCGACAACAAAGAATGAGAATGTGTTTTTTGGCATTCAATCGAAAGTGTTGACAGGAAAGAAAAAACTCCTTATATAAGATTTTCAGGTATTTATGTGAGCTACAAAATGAGACCACACCTTAAAAGATCCGACTAATAGCAAAAAAGATATGGCTGAAAACCGAGGCAGGTTTTGGCACTTGTTGGTAATGCGACGATGGTTTCTCGCAGATATTTGAAATTCACCAAATTCGTACTTTTAAATAACCACAACAAAATTGGAGTAGATTAGTCAAGTAGTGTTTGAGAATGTCTAATTGTTTATCCCAAAACACCTTTTTTCCGGCTATCACTAAGTACTAGTTTATTGAGCAAAGGGCATTTTATAGCAAAATACACTAGTTTACCTTGCCGATATGAATCGCAAACTGTTCCTTAAGATAAACGTTATTTTTATGCAAAAAAGGATGGGTTACGTTTTTCCTTCTAAACAAACTCAACATTAGAAGAAAGTAACGTAACCGTTGCTTTTTTGCATAAAAGTAACATTTATATAAGAATAAGAAATTCTTAAAAAACCATTTGACCAACATAATCCAATTTTGTTGTTGTTATTTAGAAGTATGAATCCTACGGATTTGAAAAATTTCAAGTTGCGTGAAATTATCGAAGCATTACCAAC